GTCGTAAATTCTAAACGTGATATAATAGTTTTTTCTATAGAATCGCATTCTGCGAGCGCCATCTCTGAGTGCTCGTGCAAAACAATGAAGCTTGCAAGCTTCACAGATTTCTCATATATTTTTTTCTTCAAATTTTATTTCAAACTTGTATAAATTAAATAAGTTTTGCAATAGTAGCAACGAAAATAATTAATAGAATTTATTATAAATAAAAAAATTGAAGTAACAACACACAAATATGTTATATTATATTATTCTCGTGTTATGAGATAGCTTTACCGTGTAGACCATGCAGAGATATACAAAAATAATATTTTCTCCAATTGCCATCTCTACATATCTTTTTTTTCCTTTGATTTTTGACCTTTTACCCTACGGTCACCGAGGCACTTTCACTTGACACATCCCGGACATATGCATATCAAATGGAATGGTCTTGAAGTGAGCTATCTAATATATATTTGTACATTCGGAACGTTGCATTGCGTCGTAGTCCATACTATGGACTACATACTAACAGTAAAAAGGAAGAAATTTCTGCAACGTTTTAAATGTACGTTTATCTATATTAAGTTTTTATTCACAGTACATAGAAAAATTATCTATAAACAATTTTAGTCACAAAATTGATATCAGACATTTTGTGTTTCACATTTTGGTTTCGTCACTCGTTCTTCATCTCGACAGAGGTTTTTTATTTGATTAAGAAGACATCAAATTTTTATTATTATTTCACATTCAACGTACATAGAAAAAATAAAACTACACAGCAACAAAATTAAAATGTATGATTACACATATTGATTACTAAATAATGGGGAACTATTTTTGATTTTTATTTTCTATTCATTAAAATATTCATACAGTCAATTCAGTTTTTATAAATACACTTGTTTAATAGATAAATAGATAAAAAACGGCGCAATTAAAATATAAAGAAAACCTAGTATAACGTGTTATAAGGTTATTAACAGACTCATTGGATGCGATAAGTGGAGTACGGTATATTGATTTTAAGTTAGATCGAACGGCGGCGAAATGAGATCAATAAAAAATTTAATGGAGCCGGTAAGTAAAACGCTTCTACATTAATATCAAATCAAGTGTTGTTCCGAACATAACCAGCAAACCGATACACTTAAAACGCGCACACGCTTACACATTAATAATATAGCATTATATACAATCTTAATGTAATCGGCAGTCAAGAAACCAAAACATACGTCAATACAAATGCAAAGTGTGCAATAAATAAGTAAATAAGTAAAAAAGAGAAGAGAAACCAAAGTCTAGTGTGGCCACACAGCCACCAAGTGAGATGGCACTACAAAGGAGAAATAGCAAACAGCACGATATCGATTTGCGTTGGAAATGTGAGCACGGGGCCAGAGGAGAGTCTGCGACCACGCTGAATGACATGTATGCTATTCAATCGGCAATTCATATTTTATTCATAGTGATCGTGTTGTGATGTTCACAATGAACGAAGTTGCTTCGCGCGTATTGTATATACATTAAAAAAAAAATAACAATTTTCGATGCATTATTCAATTTGGTGTAGTTGCGGTTAACTTGATTCATTTTTGCATATGTGTTGAAGATATTTGTATATATCATGCTTTTATTTTCTTTATCATATTTATGTTTTTAACATTGTGCGTTCGTCGAAATTGAAATGTGTGCCATGGCGTCGGCGTGCATGGAATTCAGTGCATAAACAAAAGAAGACATCAGAAACAGTGACCTAAGACGAAACGAAAAAACAAAAGAAACATTTAACACGGATTAAAACTAACTGAATACAATTTGTTTGATGCCATTTGTGAGCATTTTTGTGCGCTATGTGTGACTCTTGTGTTTTGTGTATCGGAATTTTGTAACTTTGGTGTCCGAGACCCACTGTCAACGCACAAATAAAATCTTTAATAGTAAGTGTTTGTTTCATCATTGTCATCATTTAATGTTGAAACATGTCGATTTTCTTTCTTTCTTTCGATCACACTCGAAAATTGTTCAGTACTTTTCATGGTTTGGCACAAATTCATTCAACAAATGCTTTTTCTCTAGAATAATTTTGCATTCAATGCATTTAAATATAGAATACAATGTTCATAACCTCAAGTACGAAAAAATCAAAATTGCAACAGTGTATATGTTTGTGAGATTGGCTTTAAAAAAAACTTATGGCCAGTTGTAAAAATTAAATTAATTGACATTAATAAGTCTTTTTTTGTCGCCTGTTTGTGTGTGTGTAATGTGCATTTTTTGCGCACTGTTCAAGTGACTAATTCAATGAAACGTGATTATTTGCCACTATGAATTTTCGCATATTAGAGGTGAATATGTATGTTCCAAGTACATATGTTCAGTATGCTAAATTACCAATTAATCGTAATTTCGTTGGTGAGCACAAAATTATACATTTAAGTTTTACTTGAAAATGCGCCACTCGAATCAGTCGATGTATGTTTTTTTTTTTTCATTTGCAACGCGCAAACACCACTTATTAATAAACATAAACTTCCGAACGTTAATTTAACGGTCGAGCATTTAATCGGCAAAAATAAAAAACGAAATTAGTAGTAACAATGTGCAATTGTGCATTGTCACATAAAACTTAGCCTATGCGAATGAAATGATCCGTATAAAACATGTCATTTTAATTCAAATTTAGAAAAGAAAAAAAAAGTCGAGTGTTCATGACTACATGAAATCAGTTGAATGCGTAGGCTCTGCTTAGATCGACCTCCATTTGGGCGGTTGGTTTCATACACAATTTTTATTCTTAATGAGCGCAAACATTGAGCTCAACAAATACTAAATTGTAATTAGCATTTGAAACAAACAGCAAAAAAATAGAATAAATACCAAAAGCTACACCAAAAGGGAAAAAAGTCTCAAAGCAGATTGGATTTAATGCGAGAAAAAGTGCAGCGAAGTTTATTTAAAATTATAAATCGAGTGTCAACATGGGAAAATTCTATTGGGATTTTTTTATATATAAATTGTTATTGTATGGAATTTATCATGACTATTGCCGGTGTTACCGAGTTGAAACAAAATCCAACTGTTTAAATTACGAATATTTGGATTTTTTATACAAACAGCCTAATCACGAAATAAAATCTAAACCTAATCGCAGAAAATCTTATCGAAACAAATTGCAAACAACAAAATTACATTCTGATTTGCACTTTGCCGATAATATTGCATTTACGTTGCAATTTAATTTATACGCTTGGGAGGCAATATGTGCTATTGGCACAGCACATGTGCACTATTTTCGTGTATAATTAGTTCAGATCAAGCGAAGCGAATGCACTGGCCACGATTGGTGCTGTTGTTGTTTTTGTTGATGCATTAGATGTTAAAGAAAATGTGTATGAACATGTCTTATTTGCTTGCTCACGTTAAACTTGCAGGGACTGAATTTAAATGCATATTCTATATCTAATTATACAATGCAAAAAGGTGTTATATAGTTTAATCGACATGTTATCGTTATAGTTTAACGATAATTAGATTGAATCGATCACGAAACCATTTATTAGTTATTTAAATACTGATCACATGTTAAAATGATGAAAAATATCAAAATATGTGTCATTTTAGTGGCACAGACGAGATTGAGCAGGTTGTTAAGAAGAATCTTTTTTATGATGATTAGAATTTAAATTTAACTATCACGTAGACATTGTGTCGTTTATAGATTTTTATAGAATTTATTGTGTCTACTGTCTAACGACCAGATGATTATTATTCAAACGAAAATAATATTAATAAAATTTGATTTGCTCGAGTCTTTCCGTGAACTAACTCCAACATTCGCTTGAATTTGAAATACAAATAAAGTGATCATAGCATCCGAATGATCGAGTCAATTGTAAGACTGAACGATATTTTTCTACATTGTCAATTCGATTCATCGTTGAAATTTTCACCCAAAATAAACGTGTACGATGACGCACATCAATTAATCTGACCGGTTCCAGATAAATTCCCGTCATTTTTGTGAATTCTTTCTTTTTATGTGTACTTAAAATACCGTAAAATACACATACGATAAAGATTTCATTAACAAAAATAAAAATGTCGTTTTTTGTGAATGGTTGATAATTTCTTTGCGTGCGATCCTACAGAACAGCTCGTAACAAGATCATGCCATAATCAACATGCAATTGAGAAAAAAATGGTTAAATCAAACAAAAACTGGCCACCAAAAAAAATTGGGTAAATTCGTTTAATTTTCACGCTTTAATTGTGTTAATTTGCGTACATTATTTTCGGTTTTATTTTACTTCTTTTTTACTTTGTTGCTGCAGTTCATGTGTTTGCTTTTTTTATCAATTATATTACATTAGGTCATGGCAGTCGTTTGTATTCAAAAGCTTAGTATTAAATCACACAATTTTCTTTGCAATTTGTTTTCCCCTCTTAATTTCTTACAGTGAAGTGATTACGTTCTAATTTGTATTTTCTTTCATCGTTTATTTTTTTCTGTTCTGCGATCGATATACTATCGGCGTTGAAACTAGATTATTTATTTTGTTGACGATATTGACAGCATTAGCGTGAAGCGCATTTCTCGCACATTCACATCCAACCAATATTTATATACTAGCATTGCAGCTTGATGAAAATGCAGATGTATTTGAATTGGAGTACTTACATATAAAGAAGAAAAAGAAAAAAAAATGTCATGTTTATATATTTTTCATGCTGTTATAAATACTTATTTACTAACACATAACAACTTTGATGTGGGATAATTCAAATTGGAGCAAAACACGTGCACATCTATTGTTTGTTGTGTGATCATATACATATATTTTTTGTGGTTTTTGACAAACATAATAAATAAATAAGAGTAAAGACAATAAACAAAATGTTTATTTCATCTAATAAGTGATCATATTCACGTATTACCCCAAATGGAAAATTTTCCATTCACGTAACTCAACATTCTTTCGCATCAAACAATTTGTTCGCATTTTTAGTCATCAAAATTGGTCGCCAACAACTCTAGATCTTCTCTCTAAATACAAATTAAAAATGTAAAATATATATATATTAGGGTGGAACAATTTTTTTGCATCAAACGCTCATCGCGATTTTGGTTCTAGCCAATTTTTACAAAATACCCCATAGTATTTGACCCCAAATGGAGGGGGGAATCTTACTTTTAGTGAAAATTGGCTCGGAGGGCATCTTGAAAAAACACTTTCTAAACGTTTTTTGGCATGCTGAAGCCGAATTTTTGGGTTTCAGGTCGAAAAAAACAGGGGTTAAGGGGCTATGATCCCTGATCCCCTAGGGGGTGGGGGGAGTTGGAGGGCAGCTATCCCAAAAAATTTCTCTCATCATTCTGAACAACTTTGTAGAACATAATTTTTTGATTCGATGATAAAATCGACATCAACAAAAAAAATTGGAAAAAAAAAGAAGTAAATGACCATTTTTGCCAGTTTTTGTATGGAAATCGTATCAAAACGTTATTATATCGCAAAATAAATGTCAAAAATGGATTCCTCGACCCCGAAAACCCCCGCATACACATTTGGCTAGAGAAAAAATAATGTTTTTTGCCTTTTTAATGCAATATCCAAGTCGATTTTTAAATATTTTGAAAAATATTTACGTAGAAAAATCAGGAGGCTTGAAATTCATTTTAGACATATGGTTCCACGGGCAAAAAAGCTTGTCATGACCCATAGATCTAAAATCGTGATGAGCCTCTGTAGGTTTTTTCGGGCCCCTACAAATTGACCCACCCTAATATATATTTATTTGAATAAAAGAAACAAAATTGCACAAATATTATCGATTATCACTGACGTCATAGAAACTGATCGTTTTTGTAATTAAAAATGAAAAACATCTGTCAACGTACCTTCTATTTATGGTATTTTTTTCTTTCTTTTTTGCGATATTAGTAGTGGTATATTTGGATAACAGATAATTGAAGAGAAATGAACTTTACTGGCAGTCACCTTGTCTTATCAATTTATCAACTAAAATTTGATGAAATACAAATGCTTTAAACATTCAAATGATATAAGTTTTCACAAAAAATGTATGACAAATGAACAAATTGCCTTTTTTTGGTATTTTGTAAAAATGAAATCGAAAGTTTGTGAGAAAATCAATTAAAATGATAAGATAGAATAGAAACTTTTCATTTTTGTTCTTCTTCTTATTGATCGTTATTTTGTTCAATTTCATTATTTGTGATGATTAATCGATGAAAAGTGAGAGAAGATAAGCGAAAAAAGATAGATTAATCACTTGAAACATTGACGCAAATGTAACTTCGGTTTATTGCAACAAATTGTTATTAAATTTCTTCATTTATTCTTTTACTCTTTTCTTTCGCGTCACTTTTCTGTTTTGCGAAGTATTTTTATTTATATGCAGTATAAGTTATTACTGTGATTTCTTAAAATAAGCGCTTTATGTTCTTTTTTTAACAATTTATTTCTCTATTGTTTTCATTTCAGATTCCATATTACAGCGCACCTACGCCATAAAACGCATCATCAATTCGTCAACGTTTTGTTGTACGTTTTTCTTTTTCAAAAGAAAAGAAAATTATGAATAATATACTTTGCAACGACGTACAATAGATTAATTATCGCCTATGAGTATGTCATATTGTTGCCACAACTGCTGCCAGATGTGCACAACATTCCACTTAAATTGAAGCAATACTGAAAATAGATGCATTTGAAACGAAAATGTAACAAAAGAGCGACAACAAAGGCATATGAAATGTAAATGATCGACATCATGACATCATTTTATGATAAACATGAGACATGAACGCATCTACAATAATCGAAATAAACGAAACGCAGACAAACTATGAGACAGAGATGACAGAGAGAGAGAGAGAACAAAAAAAGAATACGAAACATGTGTTGTTAGGTGTAAAGAAAGCAATAATACGACAAGTGGATTACGCTATGTCGACGGCAAATAATATGTGTTTATTAAACTATTTACACCCATTCGCAAATAATGTTGACTAATTCAAGTGCTCACACATAAAGATCGTAAATCACAAGTGAAATTTAGTGAACTTGATGTGGTGGTTTCTTTTTTCATTTATCAGGGTGAAGTATATAAATGCGACTTCATATGATCAAAAGCGAAACGAAATTTCGACGTCAATGGAATAGACCTCGTACGCGCCTATTTATATGTGTATGTGTAATGTGTATTAACGAGAAAAAAAAATGACATTGCGTGCACTGGGTGTAATTGACACAGACGCATCGCTGTGTATCGTTTCCCGTGTTTATATAGTTGACGAAATAATAAACAGCCACAACGAACAACAAAAAAAAGAAGAGCTAACAAGTTACAGTTAGACGTGACTGAAAGAATAAAAAAGGCGGTCATAAAACACCTCGAATACATGCATCGACGAAATTGAGTGCCGTGTGTCTATACAAAATAACGGATAATATTGTGTGGATGTGTTTTCTCTCTCACTCTGTCTATCGCACGTACTCTGTTTCACATTTCGGTTTCGTTCGGTGTTATCTGAATTTCGGATATTTGTATATTTCATAAATATGAACGAAGTGAAGTGTAAGCACGAGTGTGATAAGCCAAATGATGAAACATTTTTGCTATTATCAACTTCGTTAAATTCGATATCGTCATCTCCATTTGCCACACAAACAAGCATTTTGTCGTGCGAACAATCAAATGTGAACAACCAATACACAACCGCAACGCCACCATCACCGACATCAAACGCTAGCGACAGTCGAAACAATAGACCGACGTGTATTACCAACACAATGCCACTATCGAAATCGACAATCGTTCACACTTGCTGCTATAAACATCATTGTCAGTTGAGCGCTTGTCACATTAATAATGGTGAATATCAAGCCAGCACCAGCAAAAAGCTTTTGTTATCCGTGCCATTACAACGTAAATTCATCGGTGCGATTGGCATAGACGCACGAAATAATTGTAAGATATTGGATTTATTGACGAGTAGTGATCAACGTTTAGTTATAGCACATTATTCTTGTGTGGAAAAATTTACGAAAATGTATACACCAAATACGATGTTAAAGGATAATAATAACGGTCGACAAAAAATGAATAAAACTAGCGCGGATCAATTGATCACAGCAAAAACCGATGGCAAAGAAGATGATTTTTCGTGCTCAAGTGATATCGTGTGTGATAATAATTTGACTGAAAGTCTAAAAAATCAACGTTTTATCAGCACCAGTCCATTGTCGGATGAGGGTTTGGCCATTGCAAGTCCATATTGTTCATCGGGCGAAGAAGAAGATGTTAAAACACCTGTACACGAAAAGGTCGAACGTTCATCAAGCTCTGATTCGGCCATCCATTTGGATGATGAAATTTTAGCTCGAATGGCTGATCTATCGCCACGCAATCAACAACGTCGAATGACATTAACGGTAACAGATATTCCACTTCGGCCAGCACTTTTACCCGTTGCTGAACCAACTAGTTTACCCGATTCACCGTTGCCACCACAACAGCCATTTGATTTTATACCATCGTCCACAAATCTAGCACCACTTGTGGTGCCAAGTAAAATGATACTTGAAGCACGTATCGTGGAAATTCCAACACCAACACCAACGTCACCAGCCCAATTAAACGACAATAAAACATCATCATATTTTGGACAAATTTCAAGACGTGAATCGTGCGTCAGCGAAGATGATATGTCACATGTACGAATTGTACGAACACCTTCGGTCGTTGTTTCAGATTACAGTGAAGATGTGCTGTGTGGCATTACACTTGAAGAATTGGAATTTTTCCGTCAACAAAGAAAATCATCACTCGGCGCAGCATTAGATTCGCCACGATCATCGGCCACTGAAGCTACCGATTATTTATCGGACTTGAGTGCAGCATCATCATGCTCGAATTTAAATTATTGCGGATCATCGATCAGTTTACTTGATGACAATTATTCACAATCGCCAACGGAAACACCGGAACGCAAATTTTCCAGTTGTTCAACCTGTTCCATTGGCCAAGAAGATAACGAAGAGGAATCCAGCCAATTTTCAAACAATTTGATCGACGCTCTGAATCAACAGCAACAGCAGCGAAAGACAAAGGTATGCAGATGTAGTTTATCTAAAGCTTCTAGTTATTATCCATCACAATCAAATCGTAATTCGGCGGATCCAAAAATTGATTGATTCTTTTAACACTTTTTATTTTGAATGGTACAACCAAACAATTGTACAAACATGAATTTGCAAAATAACCAAAAAATATCACAATTCACAGAAAAATAATATTTTTCAAAAAATCGATCGAAATTTCGTTAATTTTTCAAAAACAGAGAGAGAAAAATAAATAAATAGTTAATTCATGTTGATGAAAATTCCAAACGATCCGCTACAAAGAAATATATAAAAAGTATTATGCAAAAAAAACGTATTAAATTTTAAATTATTAAATTATATGAGACGGTGATAATTATATTGCCGTCACGTTAGTAGAAAAACGAAGAAGAAGAAAAATCATTATTATCAAAGGCATTTATTTATTTCAACGGCTTTTGACAACCGTTTATTTTACATTAAGACAATTCTTCTATTATTTTTGTGTTAGCTGTAGTACAACAATTTCGATGACGCACATATTCAAATATGTACAATCCAGCTGTGTGTCTTTAATTCCAATTAAATTGTTTAAATTGAGTAAATTTTCCTATAAAAAGGACTTTTATCGTGATATCATGAGACATGTATAGGAATTATAAAACAAAAAAAAAATTAAAATATTTCTATTTTCGTCATCAGAATAGAAAATATGAAAACATCTGCTGAAATGTTTACACTAGAAGCTAACTATAGAGAAATATAAAATAAAATAAAGTTAAAAATTTACGTTGAGCTAATGGACTTTTTTTTCTCTTTCCCTTCTATATTTTTCAAACAAATTACATTTTATTAACGTTTTTCTTTTTTTTTTTTTTTTTTCATTTTGTTCACTGTTGTCAATGTAGCATTTCATCGCATCTATTATTTTTTTCTCTCAAATTTTATTGTTGTGATGTTTCGTTGTTATTGCTTTTTCATGTTTGTATATTTGCAAAAAAAGTCTGTTTTAAAGTCTAGTTTTTCATTTAAATTATAATTGCTTTGTGGCCGATAGTTTGTGCTTGGATAAATGGGCGAGTGAGTGTACTGTAAATGCTTTTTTATTGAATAATATGCCATAAAGTACAAATTGGAATCTATTCTCCAGATGACAATGATTTTAAAACAAATGGAAGTAATAGGCCATCGTTAAATATTGAAATGTTGGACTTCTATACAAAAAAAGAACACTTCGCTCTGTTTGCCACATTTATGTGCACAGATCACTAATCTCGATTTACTGCACTCCGTAACAATATGAAATGTGTGGCTGTAATTAAAATATCAACGCTAACATTAACACTAATCTCAGAGACAGAGAAGCAGCACTTAACCAAGCTTAAATATTACTCTCTTATCTTATCGGGTGAAAAACAATAAAAACGAAAAATAAGGTTGCACACATGTAAGTGGCATTAAAAAAAGAACTAAATCAATCTAACTAACGTCATTCGCGCAAAAACAAATTACTATTTTATCTGGATTCATAAATGCGCTGTCCTTGTTTCTCTCTCTCTCTCTCTCTCTTTCATTTCCATTTAGTGTGAAATGATTGTGTCGACGATACTATTCGTCCAGCAAAAAAAGGCGATAAAATGAATATTTTGTGTGTCAGCCATAAACTTTTCGCTGTCACTTTTGAACACTAAAAATTTTCCGTAAAACAATTGCTTGTGGCGCGTTGCCCTTTGTTTTCGCATTTTAAATATGTAATCTGGTGCAATAAATGTCACACTTTTCCATAAAATCTCACTGATTTTATAACACTGTCATAGTTGAAGATAATCAAACATATGAAACATATTCGAAATCTCGTAAACGATTTTGATGTGATTTCTGTTGAAGGAGAACTTTTTTCATGATAAAAAAATATGACGTTAGACTTTTTTAAAAATATCTTTGTTGATCACAGATTAATAAATAAAAAAAATAATGCCGACAATTTATTTGACGATAAAATAAATTCCCACGACGAATGCCGAATTACTTCCGTTCATTCTAAAGCAACACCGGACGAGAGTATAAAAAACAGTTATTTTTAATCATAAATGCTCGATAAGACCATCGCTAACATGGATGCATTAAGCTAGATACACATTCTTCTCATTCTTCTTTCTCTTCCCTCCCCCTTTTCTTCCCTCTTTTGCTAACATCATTGTTCAGCATTTCAAATACTTTTTATCAGCTTTTCGCTGCAATAAGTATATAATATAAAAAAAGAAAGAACCTTATTCGTGGTTCATTTAGATTCTGAATCATTCGTAAATGCGCAATTAAGGTGTTTATTTAAGAAGAAAAAGACTGTGAGATCTTTTCCCACGTCTTTGTGTCAACCATTTTGGATGAAATGATTGTTTTTTTCGTTCACGTACATTGGATAAGGGGAATGCCTTTGAACAATCGCCCAATAAATACATGATATAAAGTTCAATTCATTTACGCAATTGAAAGGGAAAAAATTCACAATGAATCACATTACGACAGGACAGGTCCAAAAATTTAAATTTTGTTAACGCACGTTATTTTTTTAAACTTCCCTACATTAATTATTTATTCCCATGTATTTCTTTTTGTGTAAATTTATGTAAATTACGTTATGATCCATTTCGCAAATCAACCCATTAAAAGACGTCAGCGAATAGATTACATGTCATTTGACTTCATTACTGACGCGTATTACCATTAATTTTCGTGTATGCATGCAATTTATTACGGTTTATTTTTCATTACTTCATTTCTGTTCGTTGCTATGCCTCGTTGCTGCATACTATTTCTGGAAACGAGTATTAGAAGTGAAGAAAAATGCCGAATTAGTCACTATTTCTAGAAGAGAAAAATGAATTTATTCACATTACATTTTCATATGCTGTTAAGGCGCGTTTTTTTCTGTTTAAAATGATTGAATTGATATCAGACAGGAAAAAAAAGATGAAAAATGCTGACTGAACATGTGGTTTCAGGTTTTTAGTTTACTCATTGAGCATTTGAACTGTCTTTTGTGGTTTTCATATCATTTTTCATGTGGATTTTTGTTCGTCCGGAGCCACAAAATGGTATATTGAAAGCGATACCTGGCATCAATGATTAGCATAGATTTCAGTTGATATAAGTGCCTTTACACAAAACTAGCAAACTATTTTGCGCGCAAAAAGAATTTCATTCGCATTCGGTACCGAATGACGGAAAGTACGCAAACGTAGTAAATATAACTCAAGAACCGATCACAATTCAATTGATTCAATTTGTTGGCCATTAACTTATAGTTTGAGCACATTTTATTCACTTGCCTAATTAATTATACATACTTTTCAATGAACAAATTCATTGTTAAGTAAATACATTTGTTGAAATGAATGCAAAACGAATGTGAGTGTTTTTCATTTCATTCGTTCGTTTGGAGTTAACGTCATAGGGTGTGTATGTAGAATACAAATAACCGCTCTCGATTACGCAGATACAAAAGAACCGAGCTCGGTCACACACCAAGTATTTCACATCATAAATCGAAACTTTTCTCATTTGTCAGCAATGTACTGAGCACAGTTGGCACATGCCAACATTTTATCATCGATGACTTTTATTATAGCAACTATGTACGATGCACATTCATCATCGAAAAATATCAATCGATCAGACTTTATTTTATAATTGAATATATGTATATATAGTATGAAATAAAAGCTTAAATCCCATTTCATCAACGATTGACGCATTCGCATTACATTTTATTACGTTATCAATTGGAATTTAGCGAATCTCAACAAATTGGTCATTACAATTTTTTTTATGATTATTGACAATGGTTTGGCCTTTATTTTTGTGAAATTTCTATTTATTTATTTATAGCGGTAATCTCACCATGTGACCCAATATGCATTCGTTTTATATTTCAAATGAAGACGAAAGAGAGATAAAAGAAAAGTTTTGCATTCATTTTGCAATCAGTAATTATGTACTTTTCAATCTGAATGTAAAGTTTAATTGCCTTTGCACAATTGCGCTTTGTGCACGAACCTTCAATTTGTGAAAAGAGTCAATACGGTAAAATTGAAGTGTTTGAATTTAATTCCCGAAGCACAATTGAAATTGCCTGAAAAGCACAAATCCATTTCGATGTTTTTGCTACAAAAAAAAAGTAATTCGTTTTCTCTTGTTCGTTAAATTTCATCCAATTTATTTGTTTATATGTAAAACAAAAATAGAATGATTCAACAGGTCAGATCGACAATGGCGCATCGTCGTGCTTCATTTCGTTTGTATTTCCTGTGAAGTTTTTATTAACTACAAAGGCAACATAAAAAGCCAAAGCCAACATTGTTCAGAGAGATTCGTGAATAAATAAGCCAAAATGGATTCGATGTGTGTTCGATTCATATAATGTACAATAAAATATGATTAAAAACTTTAATATGACGTCAATGAATTTCTGCCGCACTTTAAAGCGCTCTCTCGCCATACAAAAAATGAATATAAAGTGGTTAACATCGATTCGTATCTGTCCACGATGTTGGTGTATGGGTGGATTTGATTCCAGCATATAGATGTATACATATATTCAACGGTTAAGAAGTATATTTTTTAACTTGTTGTGCTGTTTGTTTGGTCTCAGTGCTGTGGTGATCAACGAAAGGCATTGAATCAAACTTACGTTTTTCTTCAATTGGCTCGACACCGTTGTTTGCAGCGGCCACTTCAATTTTAATATTGTTGTTGCTGCCTGTTTCATGTGAAAAATTAATCTATCTCTCCGTTTTTTTTTCATTGTCGCACATTTTACTCACAGTCAATGCGCGCGATGCATTGCAACAACGATACACATGCATCCGATTATCCACTTAATACAGACATTGCATAGAGATCTCGTTCTTCTTGAAATGTATTTATTTTTGGAACGGTTGATAAGACATTTTAAAATAAAATTGGCCCGTTTATCACGCGCACATCACGAAAGAAAAAGAAAACCAATTAATGGCATCGACTGAATATAATTGACTGTATGGCAACGGGCCACCACGCCACCTTAATTTTAGCGTTTTTCATTCTTCACCTGGCCGAATATAGATCATCATTTTGAACACATACTTCGTTTGTTTGTGTTGGTCACTCAAAAAAAGCGATCAAATCACAAATGTGTTATCGATAGTTTTTTTTCGGGTCTAAATTCATGTGAAGTGTTGTCTCTATGACTTATTGATCAGGTTTGTCTATTGTTTTAAATACTTTATTGTCCTCAAAATGTTCGCCATTATAATGCAAACAAACAAAGTAGGGACGGTACAAAAGGCTGGTGTCAAACCGATGAGAATGTCGATAGAATTTACACAAAAGCAAGAGCTCTTATATGGAGTTTACATGTCATGTTTTTATTTTCTTCGAAAACAGTTGTTTGGGTGTGAGTGTGGTTTGACGTCAAAGATGACCATGGTTGTGTGCGCAACGTCGCTGATATATATCAAAACGATGTTGTTGATGCCTTGGGCGACGTTTATACCGAAAAATATATACACTTCAAACCTAGGGGGTAGACACTAGAGTAAAGTAAATAGTATCATTTTGCATCCTTTTGAGTCTGAGAAATTGTCTGTCCATACGTCTCGACACGTCTCGAGAACACTTTAAATTTCTACGGCTTAACTTGGAGTAACTCTCGAAATCTTTTGACATCTCAAACCCGGTACTCATCCCATAGCTCAAAAAAAAAATGTTGGATCACACGTAGGTTGTGTGTAACAATCTCAAATGGCGCCGTCATT